GTGTACACAATGGGTAATCATGACATGACGAGACACCAGACGTGACAAGGCCTGACAGTTGTGATAAACTTTTCCCATCTGCGCCTGCATATTTGTGGGGGAAACAAATTTCTTGAACTGAAGGAATTGCATCCAAATGAACAGGATACATTGAACCCTTTAAAGCCTGATCCAAGAAAAGGTATAGATAAAGTTTGATTATTTTCATTCTTAAGTCCTTGTGTGGCCCTTTAACAAATTAGGGATAAAACACACACATCTGGCTGAACATGAACCCATTGTCGGAGCCTTTCCAAGCTGACATTGGGCAAGACGCAGGGTACACCAAAGACAGTTTTCTGGTCCATCACATGGCACAAACAACAACTAACCGCACACTGTAAGATGTATGTTTTTGGACTGTGGGAGGAACCCGCACTTACACAAAGAGAACATGCAAACAGTCCTCCGGGGATTTGAACTAGCAACTCCCTTGCTGTGAGGCATCAGTACAAACCGCTACAGCACCCTGTCAGAACGTCCTGTTCCAAAAGCAGTGACAACACATCCTATGTTTACCTATCCATCAAGGAACATTTGTTTTTTGACTACTGAAGACAAAATCTTAACTATGGTCTATACCACTAACTCCCCTTGCAAGATTGGGCCCATATTAATAAAAAAACAAACAAACATTTGATGTAGAAGCAACTTCATTATTTACAAATGTCTTTTTATAAAACAATTTTTGATCATACCGTTGGGGATTCCATAGTGTTTTTGTCAAGGTCATATTTGATGTTCATGCATTTTCATCTTTTCTATTTTGTAATTTGTTCTGTGTGTGGTTAATTCCCTGTGAAGCTTATTTTTCTTCCTGCCAGGCATGGTTTACAAGGTCTGCTCAGAGTGCAATAGTTGCCTCTCATGATTTTATTAATCATAAATTACTTCTTCATTTCTAACACAACAATATCTACTAACTATTTTAACAACCTTTACATAGATAAAAAATACAAACGAAAATACTCTGGTCACAAAATAGTCTCATCATGATTACCATATGCTTCTTAAATTTTAATTTTGAATTGGTCAATACATGACCCTATAAAAAAGCTACCAGTTGATATGTTTGTTTTTTAATATTTCAACTTTCATTGGTAATACATTCCATGGAATAGTCAATAACAATGGCCATTTCCCCATTAACTTAACATTTGAATGCAGACATCCCAAACCACCCCCCCTCCCCTTTTGTTGCTCTTGTTTTGCCAAAACATTTCATAACCCTATAATCCATCTTTTATTTATTTTAATCACTCAACCACCTCTCTGAAACTGCTTTTTTGTTTTTTTTTGTTGAAGCTGTAGATAATCTTTCATTTTGGACTCCTATAGATAAACCACCTCCATCATCATGCTGGAATTAAACTTATCTCAAGAAAAACAGTCGTGTCAGGATTCTGGAAGAAGCAGATCTCTGGCTCACTGTCCTTTTCTGACTGATAAAAGCTTGTGATCTTGAAAATAAAAAGTCACACGTATTTACCATATTTTTCACCCACAAGCAGTACTTTACAAATACCAATATGTCATAACAAAATAAATATTTGACATCCCCCCACTATTCGATTAGTCATTTTCCATTATACTGACCAAACTTTTTCATTTCTCTGACCACCATCAGTCTAGCCTGTTCTGGTATGCCATTCATTTGTCTCATAATTTTGCAATTACCATGCTCAAGTGTCTTAATTATGCGTTTCCGTGTTCGGGATTTCAGCTTTTCTTTCAATTTCACCATTTTCTCTTAATGAGACGCTTGTAAGTCCTTCAATGTTTTCATCTGCTTTCTTGTTTTCTTCTCTAGTCACAAATCAAGTGATAATGCCCATACTTGTGTTCTTCTCCAAATCATCTACTTTTCTTTCAAGCTGTTCATTTATTCATTGTATATCTGAAACCCTGAAGTGAATGTCACTGCTGCCTCCAACACCATGTATTTAACATGGCTATCATATCTCATCGTTGAAATCAGGTGAAATGAAAAAACCAAGCCAAGATCCTGGAAATATTGTATGAATGCACCTGTAGACTTTTTTTAATGGCTTTTGGTAGTACAGATAGCCCAGTGCAGAAATATCCACCCACCAGTTAACCTGCTATATATGAGACAAATCAGATCAAATGAACAGTAAATGGTTTTCTATACAATCCCACCGTAAGGCAGTGTCAAATATGATTTGATTTCACACCTATGTGTTTTTTCCTATTTTTTAAGTTAAAAACCTTGCGATCAGACAGAAATAGTGTAGCAATGGCCCAAGAGTGAGCTGAAAGAGGCTAGACACAAACATGTTAGGAAGCATGCCAAAAATGTCCAAATATTAGGTTATGATTAGCACCCAGGGCTTGTTGCCTCTGTTTTAGTTCTTGTCCCTTTGTATATGTGTTGCTTACAAAAGATGCCGTGTAACTAAGGTCAAAATGCGTTCCGTGTTTCCGAGTGTCAGAGCTGCAATGCGATAGGAGGCCTACAGACTTTAAAAACAATGGTCAAGATGGAGCCAAGGTGACCTGGCATTCAAGGACTGTCTCTGTGCACCGGGGGTTCATGCAGCTCCGGGGCTGACACAGCCTCATGAGCGGAGCCCAATTAGAATTGCAAAAGTGTCAAGAGCAATAAACTCTAAAGAACACTTCCTGCATGCTCAAAAGGACACAGAAACATGTTGTTAATCCCAAAACAAACAGCAGCGACAAGGTTTATTCATTTTCACGGTCTTGCTTACAAGCATCATCATAGAATTGCGAGAATGAAATGCATTGTGCTAATTTTTTAGGTATTTGTATTTTAAGATAGAAATGATTCCCATTCCCCAGGATAGTAATAGGAAGAGAACAACAATGTATAGAATAGAGTAGATATGAAATCCTTTTAGTGATATATATATATTTTCTATCACAGCTGTAATCTGTTGGGTAGATTTAGAGCTTTGTCAACAATCAGAGGCATGTAAAGCCCTGAACTCTGCTCCAGTAATCCACGGAACAAACTCCAAATACCAGCCTGTGGTCATCTTGACATCAAAGTGCTTGCTCTTTTTTTTACACAGAGAAAAACTTCTAATAGATATAGATCCACATTGGAAAGAGTTTCAATCAATCCCAGCAGAAGCGGACATGAAAACGATGGAGGTGGTCCGATGGGCCGTGTAGAGTCGATGGCCCAGGGAAGCTGTTGAACCAACTGTTGAGACACTGTGGAGGGAAGCAACAGTTGTGCGGCCGTGATTAGGCCATCTTTCTCTCAGTCCTAATTATGTGGAGCTGGAACACAAGCAAGAGGCTGAGAATCGCCCTGCGTCATTAGCTTTAATCAACCCTGGATACCTCGAGACATAAACAGCCTACCTGACACCGAATCAATACCTGACATTCATCATTTTGCTCCAGCCGGGCTTTTTAATTACTGCAATGAATTCCCTACATGGTTCAAGTCACCTGCTATCTAAACAATGTCTAGTGTTCAGCCTGTGCCATGTTTACACAGGGAAGTCTGTCCTTATTCTCTCTGCGGTAAGCATCAAAGTAAACTGGAAATGTAATAATTGTGAAGGGTGTCTCATCCCTCAGTAAGTTCTCATCCCTTTTGCTGACATAATGTATATCTGATGATTGATTTCTTCAAACCCTTATGCCTTGTCACAACATCCTTTTTCTGGCATCTGAAATGTACAGAATGGTCATTCACAAAAGATAACCTGCAGGTGCAAGACCAGGTCTCAAAAACCTCTTTACAGTATAAAGTATTTCATGCATGGGGTTCATTTATCTTTTGATAAAGTGTCGATTCGCATAAGTTACTTTTAGAGAAGGCAGCTGTCCTGCCCACAGTAAGTTGCTGTGGATGAGGCTCTGCTTGGCTGTTCCACAAGCAGAAGGGGGAAAGCAACGACAGCCACCGGTGTCTGATGAAAACCTCACGTTTAAGGTTTCATGAAGACACAGTCTAAGGTTTTCATGTGTTTCATAACTAACCCTCTGCAGAAGAACCCTTCTGGATGTGGGGCACAGTGACTCCTGCAGGTCAGTGCTTGTACAATAAAAACTGCTGTTTGTGCACCTACATTTTTTGTAAAAAAGACAGAAACAGGTTGAAACAGGTATGCAGAGAATAAGACAACAAAAAATAAACCATAATATCAACACGAGGAACAGTTTTAGTATTACTAGAATATATAAAACCTCCATGGTTGATGTTATCATTGTAAATTCTCTCTGCAATGATAAACAGAACTCCAGCGAGTACATTTTTTTAACATAAAATATTTAGTTGCCTATTCCAATCCAGGAAATCATACATTTCAAGGGGAACATAAAGGACGGGGTCGGGGTATTTGTGACAGAATCAGTGTCAATGGAAGCGCGTAAAGGAAATGTTTGTCCCTCTCAGGCCACCCTACCGCCTGTAGGAAATCAGGAAGTTACCGGGGAATTTCATTCAGTACAATTTATACATTTTAGGGCCATTGCTTTATTTCACAATGCGTCGAAGACCCGAAGCGCAGTCAACAAGCGGCGAACCTTCGAATGCTGATAAAAAGGTAAAGCAATGTCGACAGCAGTCGCCTGCTAAGGGCAGCACGTGACAGTGTAGTTTGCCATCATCAGTAAAGTGCCTTCAGACACTAACATGTCACTTTGACTTTGTTCGTGCCAGATGCTGCTATCCGCCTCTGAATGTGTCCTTTTGTCTTATTTGTACTGACAGTATCCGTTTTTTGTGTGTGCATATAAATAAGCCTAATCCTCTATTTAAATATCTTCGTGTATTGTTTAATTTTTTTTAGTTCTTTTAAATAGCCCTTTTACAAGCTGCGTCCAATTAGGCAATCAATTGGTTATTATATTAATAGCATCTCACAACAATATTGTCTTTTATTAGGGTTACTGAGATGTATGTATGTATGTATGTATGTATGTATGTATGTATGTATGTATGTATGTATGTAT